ACATGTATGACTCTCATTAACCGGTCAGCCTGACCTCAAATGAATAAAACAAAATTATTTTAAACCAGAGTAACATGCTAACACAAAACCCTAACACGATATTGTTTTACAGACTTCATGCCATCATATCTCGTCATACAGTTCATGAAATTCAAAAATGCAAAGTTAGTAAATGAAGTACGAAAAATAAGGAACACAATGATATCAAGAATAAGGGAGAGTTATATAGAATACATTCAGTGAGGTTTGAGTGAGAGAGAGAGAGAGAGAGAGAGAGAGAGAGAGAGAGAGAGAGAGAGAGAGAGAGAGAGAGAGAGAGAGAGAGAGAGAGAGAGAGAGAGAGAGAGAGAGAGGAGAAAATCGTTAGAGAGTAACATTGGAATTTTTGTAAAAAATGGAGTGGTAAGATAATACGATACGTTTCATGTTGTGTGAGGGTGTCAACTTTTGCATTTTGGTGAGGAGATGCTGCAAGGAAATGATGAGCTGGAATAGAGAATGAGAGAGAGAGAGAGCATGTGCAAAAAACGTGAGTGGAAAGAAAATTGCCAAATATGGCCAATTTGAAGGCATATGGTAAAGCATGCAAATGGCATTGTTGGGCTTGAAAAGGCAAGGAAAATTAGTGGAATACACATGATATTTGAATATGCAAGGCTTGCTATAAGCAAATTTGAGTTATGCATAATCTGATGCCATCTAAAACAAACAGCATGCATTTTCATGCAGTCTATTTTGACTTTTCAAAATTCCATGAATTCGTGACCATTTGAGATGAGTTTGGGCTTGTTGGAAAGAGGACAACAAAGTGAATAATTTTCATGTTGTTCACAAGTTGAAATGAGGTCTGGAGCATAAAGAAAAAATGCCATGGAAGTGATACCTTGATATTGTTAAAACACTTATAGAAAATCTCATAAGTATAAGTCAATGTGACATCTTTTCCTACTTGACTTCCCATGATCATATCTTGAGATTTAGGGACTCTTTTGATAAACTTTCTGAAGCAAAGTTGTAGAGAAAAGTTTGATCTTCATCTTTTGTGTTAATGCCGTCAATAGATGATGGTTAGATGATGCTTGAATCTGAGCAAGAAAGTGATACAAAAATCTGATTACAAAAGAACTTAGAAAAAATTTCTAAGTGTTGGAAAATCTTCTCCAAAGTGCCTCATTTTAAAATCTCATAACTTATTCAGTTTTGTTCCATTGATGATGAAATTCACATGGTTGGAAAGATCAGAGAAAGATTAACAATTTTCATGTTGAATTGGTTTTGAATAGAAGCTTGCATCATTGTGTACTCTAGCCATGAAGATCACTAAAGTTACTTGAAAACTTACTAAAAATGGAAAGTTAGAAAACCCTAAAATTTCCAAATTAAGCAAGTTTTTCTCAATCTTGATTTTTTTGATGAATCTTTTGGTATTTCTTGATCAAATTCCACACATTAACCATATTTGACTTATAAAACACAATTTTGACCATAAAAAGTCAAAGGTTGACTTTTCCCCTAAATTAATTGATTCACAATCAACTGAGCAATTGAACATCTTTTGATCAAAATTAATGGTCAACTTTCCATCCATAGGTTTTTAGGGACATGTAGAATACTATGGAACCAAGTTTTGCTAAAAAAATGAAATAAACTAATTTCATCACAAATCCTAATTTTCAGTCAAAATGATAGGAGATGAGTACACAACTTCAAAACCCTAATTTCTCTAGGCTTCTTGAAGAATCTTTTGAACAAAGATGTCTTGTATAATATGATGAAGATGATAATACTTAAATAATATTACACACAAAAGGTGTTACACACTTCAATTGATCAAAATCTTAATTCCAGGAGATGGATAGGGGAAATGTGATTCACTTCAAATCTTTGGCAAATTCAATCATTTGATGACATGATGGACATATCGAGATGTATTGAGGCATGAGAAGCCTTTGTAGCTTTAGTGACCAAAAGAATGGGGATATTGGATCCTCCGTGCACTAGTTTGAACATTCAACCATCTTCTATTGCTTGAAGAAGACCATAAGACAAAAACACCATGATCCCATCTTAAATGAATGAATGTGTATGCTAAGATGAAACATAAGCTTATTGGGTTAAAAAGAAGAGAGAAAATTTTGGGGTTCAACACACTGATGTGAGAGATACGTAATGATTTTGACGAGTATTATAGGTTAAGTACAATTTATCAATAGGTTTAAGTTTGTGACGAGTAGGTGAAATTCATGCCAGACAAGTTCTCTCCTCTCTAAATAATGAATTTATTTTCTTGTTCATATGTTTTAATTTAAACCCATTCAAAACCAAGCTCTAAAACATAAAGACTATTTGTATTACGGTGGGAGAACTGACTTGGGTGTTTTGCGTTTGATCGCAATTGTTGCGGATAGTAAGAGTTGCCACCGACTTTTCTTTTAACCTTATGTGCCATAATATAAGTTTAAACCTTATGTTATTTCCTGAAGTCATCTATGAATTTCGGGTTGGCTACATGCAAAGATGGGAAAGCAAAGCATTTAACAATCTCCTTGAGGCCAACACCCACAAGGAAGTTTTCCCCTTCCATGATAGTATGGGCCTCCGGGTTCCCCATAACAACCATACCTTGCTAACAAGCAAAGAAAAAACAAGGTTTTAAAAAGAAAATATTGTTACTTTAAGGTACCCACATGTTTCTAGATATGATGGAGCTGAATCATCAGAACTCTGAGAGGAAAGTTGTAGTGGAAGAAGAAAGTCTGAGTTTCCCACAAGAAAACTACATACAAAGTTGGGAAAGCAAAGCACTAGCAACCTCCTTGAGGTCAATACCCACTAGGACATTTTCCCCCTTCACAATAGTACGGGCCTCTGGGTTCCCCATCACAGTCATACCCTAATAACAAGGAAAGAAAAAAGAGGTTGTAAAAAGAAAATAGAGGATAATATTTCATTCGTTTCCCAAGCTTTAGAGAGCCAGAAAACCTCTGTCGAACTTCCTACATACCTCTCAATTCCACAACTTTGAATTTGGTTTTAAAACACTTCCAACTCCAATTTCTTTGTTCATTCTTCATACTTGAAATTCAGTGAAGCTAACAGAAGAATAACTAAGCCTTGAAGTGCTCTAAATCGTGCTAGCCAAGTCAAGTTTCAGAGCACTTTCTTCATACTTCGTTCATGTAGTTTAAGGCATCAATTCTTCTAACTCAAATTACTGGAATGGTCTATGATGTTCATTGATGCTTGATGATGGTTTAATTTTTATTAATTGATGCATTTGATGCATCTGTTTGCGATTTCAAATTCTTCAAAAAATCTCTAGTTTTTTCCAAATCGAGTGAGCTACACTTTAAATAAGTTTTTCGCGAACATATGGTCGTGACCGTCTCAAGTAGACACATCTAACGACACTATTATGAACACGTACACTTACATATTTAAGGATATGTGTTTTGCTCTAGTTGTAGGAGGCTGGAGATTGAAGATGACCTATGTGTCGTTCTTCAACCAATGATACACAGCCAAACATTTTAATCTGATTGGTTGGATTTTTTTGTGTTGTCTGCACGCGTTTCAATGATGATCACCATACGTCCTAGCTTCAGCGTCCTTGGATTTGCCAGCATGTATAAGTGAGCTGAATCCAACGCGTGATATTATTTTGGTTTTATTTTTATTTTCTAATTTTTTGATTTAATTGTTTTAAACTTCAAAAATTCATAAAAAATTCATTTCAACTTCTAAAATTGTGAAAAAATTATCAAAAATACTATTGATTTTTCTCTTTCTGATTTTTATTTTTTTTATTTGGTATTTTTTTTAATGATTTTTCACTTTATTTGATTTATTTTAATTGTTTAAAAATACTTTTCTTGATTTTTTAAATTCTGAAAAATTTATGGTAGGATCCAATAATCTCTTGACAAACAATGATGACCTCATTTCATTTTTATTTTTGATTTTAATATTTTTCATAAATTTTGGTTTATTTTACTTATTTTTTTATATTTTAAAAATAGTTTTTGACTTTAAATTTTTAAAAAAAATTTTGTTGACACTTATTAAATCATTTTTGACTTCTGATATTTTTTAGGATTTTTATTTAGTTTTTTAATACATGTTTTTATTTTATCAATTATTTTCTTTTTAAATTATTTAAATTTTATTTTATATTAAATATATTTTATTACTTTTTTTATTGGTCCTGATTTGGAGATTTTTTTTTTGAACAAGTTCCTCAACCTCATTGTATCTTGGGTGTTGATAGGTTGAGAAATCAAATCCACCAAAATAGATGAATGATGTTGATGATATTTGAAACCCTAATTTCATTGATACATCCCTCTCCCTCTTCATCTAATCCCTTTCTTGTTTTTACTTGTGGTACATGTTTTTGGAGAATGATCTACATATCATTTCTCTAAGATGTTTGATACATAGATTGCTATTGATTGACCTCAAAATAAGTGTGACTTCTACATAAATTCACTTATGATTGCTTAACATAACACTAAATTTTTCTCGATTAAAAAATGATTATTCGTGATCTAAATTTATGTTTGCAAGTTTAAAATTATTGTAATACCACTTATCTTTTCAAAATTACTATATCAGATCTTTTCAAAATTATTTGAGAATTTTCAAAATTATTGTGATATCACTTATTTTAAATTTATTTTCTAATTTATCATTAATTATTTAACTTTAATTGATAAATCTTTTTAATTTTATATTATAAATATTTTAATGTTAAAATATATTGAATCTTGATAAAATAATTTTATTTTATTTATTATATTTTAAAAATAAGAATGTGCATATCACATCTATATCCGTATAAATACAAATACAGGGATATTCCAATAATTATTAATGGACTCAAAAGAAAGAAAAAAGCCTTGTGAGAAAATAATAAAAATTTGATCCAATGTAAATGTTTTGCTATTCCTCAGCAGCATATAAGTGTGAGAGTCTCATAAAACCAAACCAGTAAAGAACCAATGTTCCCTCATCAAACCACCACCATCATTCTCCGAGCAAACCTCCCCATTTTCCGACGACACTTTAGTCTCTGGTCAATGAAAAAGGACCCAGACTTAGAATCAGCCCTCTCACGAAACCGACGTTGGATCATAAACAACCAAATCAAAAACATAATCCTCCGTTACCCTAACAACGAAATCCCAATCGAAACTCTTCAGAAGAAATTCAAAACCCTAGATCTTCAAGGTAAAGCCCTCAATTGGATTTCCAAGTACCCCTCTTGTTTCCAACTTCACCAACGTCGCATTCGTCTCACCAAACGCATGATCGACCTCGTTCATCAAGAACAAACCATCAAAGATTCGCTTGACGCTGTTTTCGCCCAGCGTCTCGCCAAACTTCTCATGCTTTCGGTTAATAATACCCTCAATGTATTAAAAATCAATGAAATCAAGAACACTTTAGGGTTTCCTGATGATTATTTGATTCGAATTGTGCCCAACTATCCTGATCTGTTTCGAATTGTTAATGAGAGTGGGAGGAGAAGCTCTATGGCGATTGAGCTGATTCATTGGAACCCTAGCTTTGCGGTTTCTGAAGTTGAAGCTTCGGCTTTGAAAAACGGGGTTGACCCGAATTTCAAATGCTGTTTGCCTTCTAGTTGGGTGAAATCGTTGGAGAAGTTTCGCGAATTTGAATCAGTTCCTTATGTTTCTCCGTATTCGGATCCGAGAGTTTTGGTGGACGGGTCCAAGGAGATGGAGAAGAGGAATGTGGGTTTGGTTCATGAGTTGCTGTCATTGACTCTTTGGAAGAAGGTTTCAATTATGAAATTGGGTCATTTTAAAAGAGAGTTTTTTTTGCCTGATAAGTTGAATGTGTTGCTGCTTAAGCATCCTGGGATTTTCTATGTTTCTAATAAGTATAGGATTTATACTGTTTTACTTAGAGAAGGGTATGTTGGGTCTCAGTTAGTTGATAAGGATCCTCTTGTGGTTGTTAAAGAGAAATTTGGGGAAATTATGCAGGAAGGACTTCATGAGTATAACCAAAGGCGGCGCATGGTTAATGTCGAAAAGAAGAGAAACAAAGGTGTTCCTTTGAGTAGGGTGGATGAGGATGAAATGAACGGTAGAAGAAGGAGAAGAAGAAGCAGTGAAGTTTCTGATGAAGATGATGATGATGATGTTGTTGATGGAGGAAATGGTAATAAGTTGGGAGGGTTGCTTGACCCTGAAGAGAGAAAACGGTTTTATAAAGTTCTTTTTGAGGATGATGGTTCATGAGTTAAGATTTGCTTAGTCTAGGTGTGGCATAGAATATAGATCAGTGTTTTAAAAACCAAATCGAACCTGACGGTTTAAGTTTAATCGGATAAATTTTTTTAATGCAATGCAACTTTTGTAAATCTTAGTGTGATAAAAGCTTGGTTGTTGTTGAAGTTTATAACTTGTGTTCCCTGCTTGTTTTTGTTCTATTTCAATCCAAATTTGCTTGCAGGTATTTTATTGTTTACTATAAATTTTTTTAATGCAATGCAACTTTTGTAAACTTAAGTGTGATAAAAGTTTGGTTGTTGTTGAAGTCAAATTTTCAAGTTTATAACTTTTGTTCCCTTCTTGTTTTGACTACAGGAAAATCAAGCTTTAGACCTTGTGCTGATGTTGATGATTTTGTTAGGGTGTTGATACTGAAAAGGCACACCGAACTCAAAATGTGATTTCAAACATGGCGTAAATTAATAAATGCTTTGATGAAATGGAGAAATGCGATTATGATATGTGTATAGATGCTGCTTAGGATTATATGTACGATCAATAATCTACATGTCTTTCTTGGAAGTTTAAGACTCATTTCTTTAATTGTGGTACTGTTATGAAATTTGCAGAGAATTCGAGCTGGAAGTTGATCAGATATTTAGTAGCGAGAAACCTAGAGAACAGGTAAATTCATAATTTGTGATGTTTACATTGCAAAAAAAATCTATGATTAATCCAAATATTTGAAATAAAAATTTAAATTAACATCACATAACTTGTGCAGGACCTCAGTTAATCAGTTTCAGACCACGAAATGTACCTCTGCAATCTTCAATGACTGTTACAGATGGTTAGTCACTTTATATTGTTATGTTATATGATATGGCCTAATTGATTGGCACATCAATTTATCTGATTTTATTCATTTGAATTGTCTTTTAGAATGTGGTTACAACGAGGATGGAGCTTTTGGAATAAGATTGGAGAATGTACTTATTGTCAACGAGGGTGATACAAAATTTAATTTTGGCGGTAAAGGTTACTTATTGTTTTATTCATTTCAAAGTTGCGATATTGGTGTTTATCAAGTTTTTAGTTGACCATTTCTTATCATGGAACTTTCTGCACTATGATTGTAGCAGGTGTCGTGTTTGACGGGCTGAAGAAATTGTAGAAGAATATGCAAAACAACAGGTTAGGCATATAGCTAATTTACATGCCATCACAGTAGTATTTTCTGTACTTTTTTAGTAATGTGTTAACTATTGCAAATTTAGTTCATTATTATTCTTACAAGTGTTTATTTACTAATTTTGCATTGACAGAGTGAAGAGGCCCCAATTGATAATCTGATGGAACTTGTACAACAAGTAGTTGTTTTTCACATTAAGGTAATATCTATAGCATTCATTTTACTAAATAATGTTACTATGTAGAATATCGACACAACAAGATGTGTTACATGCTGATTGATAATAATTTTAGAGGAAATCTGGAAAGTATAAAAATAAGGTTTACACAAGCTTAGCTGTCATGGGCATGGAATAAGAAATAAGAATGGAGTAGATCTACTTTCTTATTTGATTAATTTTTCAGAAAACTTGCTTTTCTTATCCAAAGCAACTTTCCTTAGCTATACTTATTGATTGAGGCAAACAACCACCAGAAACTCCAATATGAGATACACTTACATCTTATAGAATCGTTGGCTGTAAGAAAAGCTGTTGTTGGAAGCGAAAGAGGTTTATCGGCTGAAGTTAGCATTGCAGGGGAGGAAATGGTAACCTTATAGGAAGAAGAGTCTTGCTGGTGGAATAATAAGTCCGTCAAGAACTGGAACTAGATCGGTGTAGACACCGGAATTGGTTATTTTAAAGTGAGATGTTTGGATCTCCGAATCGTTTTAATTATGTTTATGCAATGGAACAAAATTTGACAGGGAGTTTTGAGCAGTCAGTTCCAATCCTATGTGGGGTTGTAGTTTACCATGTATTTTTCTGTTGGCCGGATATGTCATGAGGTTTGAAGGCTTGCTTTCCCTCTGTTTGTGTCTGCAGCGGCGCTATCGGTATGGATATGTTGTAATTTTGCTAATGAAGTGGATTTGCTGGACCAACTGGACAATCAAGAAACTGCCATCAAGATGACATGGTCCATATATTAAGACTGTTAGAAGTTTCAGGTATTGAGCGACTTAGGTGGGTGATGTTGTTGAGTTTTTGGCAAAGATGTGATATTGTTGAGATTTATGTTGGGGTTGTACAAGGGATCTATGGGTGTATAATGTGCTCCATTGCAGTATCTTCTTTTATTCTTATTGGTGTGCATTGACATCCTTTAATTTTATCAATGTATTTTAACATTTTCCAAAAAATTAGATAGAGATGATTGTTGTGGTTATAAAATACCAGTTTAATTAAGTGTCATTTTCATATTCATATGTATGCTAAAATGGATAGCATAAATGATATAAAATAAAAAAACAATAATATTGAAAATATGCTTTTGTTCTAAAATTTCTCAATTTATAAAAGTAAAAAAAAAAAAAAAAAATCAAACTAACTTTTCATTCACGAATCATAATGAACAATGATTAATAAAATAAATAAAAGTAATTTTTTTGTATAATTAATGTAAGAAAAAGAAAATGAACAATGATTAATGAAGCAAAATTTTCATTCACGAAACGTAAAATGAACACTTATATTGCACAATTTTGAAGAGAGAAAACGGTTTTATAAAGTTCTTTTTGAGGATGATGGTTCATGAGTTAAAATTTGCTTAGCCTAAGTGTGGCATAGAATATAGATCAGTGTTTTAAAAACCAAATTGAATCTGACGGTTTAAGTTTAATCGGATGAATTGTGAGCTAATATTGTCTATGGCTCGGCTATACGAGTGGTTTGACCACAGTAGATTTGTTTATTTGAGCGGTTTGGTTGCAATTTAAAGAAGTTGAACAAGAATTCAGAGATTGATTTTGAAGCTTCTATTTTCGGTAGAGTGATGATTTTTCTTCTTCTCAATTTTCGCGATTTCTTTCTCGTTTTCGCGTGCAGTACAGTTCCCTTTGATTCTTAAAGACTAGTATGATTTAAGTAGGTATAGGAAGGTTAGTAATAGTCGGAAATGGGATTAAAACATGAGACTTTGTTGAATTGCTTAATTTCATTTTATGATGATAATGACGTGGTGGCCTTATTGGCGAATGTAGAAGGCTTATGCGTTGTTGTCACATAGTTGTGTTGTCGCATGATAATAATGCATACATTTCATTAGTGAGGGATTATGCCCTGTTGTTGGTCCGTAATGGCGTTACGTTGAGGGCTTATGCATTAGTGTTGTCTATTTGACACTATGTTGGGGGGTTATGCTCTGATGCTACCACATGCATTAAGTTATTGTCAGTTGCATTACATTGCACTATCTTGATTTGACGTTGTGTTATATTAATGATGGATTGTGTTCTTGAAGTATTGTGTGATGTGTGAATTGTGTGTATTACTACTTAGCATGTGTTATTCACCATATATTTATATTGGATGAAATTCTCACCCCTTTTTTGTTGTTGTGTCTGTGCTCTTTGGGGAATACAGATAACCAAGTACCCGAGTAGTGCTTGGAGAGAGTATTACTTGATCGAGTCTTAGGATTCGCTCTGATACGTAACACGAGATTGTTTGAAATTTGTTATGTTTTTGCATTATCTCATTTGTTACTTATCTTATTTTTATACTTATATTGGACCACGTGTCGTGGAGTTTTATTATTGTGGAGGCTTTAATGCCATGAAAGTAAATTGATTTGATTATTTCGTTGCTGAATCAATTATTATGAATAAATAAAATAATAAAGTGGTTTGAGACTATGAATTTTGAAATATGTGGCATCCTACTTGTGTACTATGATATGTATTCCGTAGATTATGCTATAATAATTATTATTATGAGAAAATGGGGTGTTACAATTGATATCAGAGCAGGTCGGTCCGTCCGACCAGGTTGTTGAGTCAGTAGTATAGTGTGATAGTCTAATATTGTCGATGTGTTCATTCTATCCCTTGTTTAATGTTATGATGTGAAGCAGAGTGATGGCTGGAAGAAACAGTAGTGCACTTGCTACTGCATTGCAGGCTTTGGCTCAGGCGATGCAACATGAACATAATGTCGGCATGAATGATGGATCTCTTGTTTTAGAGACTTTCCAGAGGAACCATCCACCTACTTTCAAAGGGAAGCATGATCATGAAAGAGCACAGGAGTGGCTCAAGGAAATTGAAAGGATCTTTCGGATTATAGACTATTCTGAGGCACAGAAAGTGCGTTTTTGTACGCATATGCTGACAGGAGAGGCTGATGACTGGTGGGTTATCACTCGTCAAAGATTGGATGGTGTAGGTGAGGCTATTACTTGGGTTGTATTTCGCAGGGATTTCCTGATGAAGTATTACTCAGAAGAGGTATGCGGGAAGAAATAAATTGAATTTCTAGAACTGAAACAGGGAAAATATCGGTGACTGAATATGCTTCCAAGTTCGTGGAATTGGCAAACTATTATCCTTATTACAGCGAGGTGGCTGCTAAATTTTCGAAATGCATCAAGTTTGAAAACGGGTTGTGCTAAAAAATCAAGAAGGAAATTGAGTATTAGAGGATCTGTAAATTTTCAGATTTGGTGAATAACTGCAGGATCTATGAAGAGAACATTAAGGCTCACTACAAAACCATGACTGAAAAGAGAGGCAAACAACAACAAAATCGTGGGAAGCCTTACAATGGTCCAAATGCCAAAGGTAAATAGAGGATTGATGATGGTAGGAGAACTAGTGGGAGAGACGCCCCTGCTGATGTGGTGTGTTACAGATGTGGGAAGCCAGATCATTGAAGTAATACATGTACAAAAGAAGTGAAAAGGTGTTTTCGTTGTGGAAAGACTGAGCATGAGATAGCTTATTAAAGACATAAGGCAATAATATGTTAAATTATGGCGAAGAAGGACACATCAGTACTCAGTGTCAGAAACTGAAGAAAGCTCAGACATCCAGTGGAGACTGTTTGATGAGAGGTATTTGCTTCATTAATAGTACTCCTTTAATTACTATTATTGATACGGGTGCTACTCATTATTTTATTGTTGCTGACTGTGGGAAAAAGTTGGGTCTTGTATTATCCCCTATGAATGGAGAGATGGTTGTTGATACTTCAACTAAGGAATCAATCACTACTTCTTTTGTATGTTCAAAGTGCCCTTTGCCGATATTTGACAGAGACTTTGATGTGGATTTAATTTTTTTACCGTTGAGCGGTTTGGACGTAATTCTAGGCATGAACTGGTTGGAATACAATTATGTTCATATCAACTGTTACAATAAATTTGTACGGTTTTCTACTCCCGATAAGGAAGGGGATGCTGGATCCTTATCTTCTAGACAGTTGAATAAATTGATGCAAGATGAAGCTCAAATGTTTTCTTTGATGCATCCTTATCTATTGAGAATCAGGCTGCTATTGATGAGTTGCATGTGGTACGTGAATTTCCTGAAGTTTTCCCAGATGATATTACAAATGTGCAACCAGAAAGAGAAGTAGAGTTTTCTATTGATCTTGTTTTGGGTACCAAACTTGTTTCTATGGCACCCTATCGAATGTCAGCGTTTGAATTGGAAGAATTGAAGAAACAATTAGAAGACTTGCTTAAAAATAAATTTGTGAGACCAAGTGTATCATCTTGGGGAGCTCCAGTGCTGATAGTGAAAAAGAAGGATGGTAGTATGGGACTCAGTGTTGATTACCAACAGTTGAATAAAGTAACAATTAAAAACAAATATCCACTTCTGAGAATAGATGACTTGATGGATCAATTGGTGGGTGCACGTGTGTTTAACAAGATTGACTTGAGATCGGTCTATTACCATATTCGAGTCAAAGATGACGATATTCAGAAGATAACTTTCAGAACTCACTATGGGCATTATGAGTACTCGACAATTCCATTCGGTGTTAGCAACGCGCCGAGAGTGTTTATGGAGTATATGAATTGTATCTTTGACACATACTCGGATCGGTTCGTAGTCGTGTTCATTGATGTCATCTTGATATATTCCAAGACAAAGGAAGAACATGCTGAGCATTTGCAAATTGTATTGCAAGTGTTGAAAGATAAGAAGCTATATGAGAAGTTGTCAAAGTGTGAGTTCTGGTTAGAGAAGATTAGTTTTCTTGGTCATGTTGTTTCAGGTGGTGGTATTGTTGTAGACCCATCCAAGGTAGATGCAGTGTTGCAGCGGGAGACTCCAAAGTCAGTTACAGAAATTAGAAGTTTTTTGGGGTTGGCTGGTTATTATAGAAGGTTCATTGAAGGTTTTTCTAAGTTGGCACTTTCGTTGACTCAGCTAACTTGTAAAGGCAAAGCGTTTGTGTGGGATATTCAGTGTGGAGAAAGTTTTACAGAGCTAAAGAGGAAATTAACGACAGCTCCAATTTTGATATTGCCTAATCCTGAAAATCATTCTTCGTGTATTGTGATGCTTCTAAATTGGGTTTATGTGGTGTGCTTATGCAGAATGATAAAGTGGTAGCTTATGCTTCGAGGCAATTAAGGATTCATGAAAGGAATTACCCTACTCATGATCTAGAATTAGCTGCAGTGATATTTGTACTAAAAATTTGGAGGCATTACCTTTAAGGCTTCGGGTTTGAAGTATTTAGCGATCAAAAAAGTTTGAAGTACATGTTCGACCAAAAGTAATTGAATATGAGACAAAGAAGATGTCTAAAGTTGTTGAAATATTATGACTTTGGCTTAAAATATCATCCGACTAAAGCTAATTTCGTGGCGGATGCTTTAAGTTAGAAGTCATTAAATATGTCTACCATGATGGTTAGAGAACTAGAATTGATTGAGTAGTTCAGGGATTTGAGTTTAGGCTGTGAGGTAATGCCTCAGAGTGTTATGTTGGAAATGTTGAAGATCAATAAAGACTTCATGAATGATATTAAAGAAGCTCAGAAATTGGATGTCAAATTGGTAGATTTGATGGTTTGAAGCAATCAGTCTGAAGATTTCGACTTCAAGGTAGACACACAAGGTGTGTTGAAATTCCATAATAGAATTTATATTCCTGACGACATTGAGATGAAAAAGATGA